TTCTTAAAAACAGGGGCGGCGGCGGGGCCTGCGCAGCCGCCTCTCCTCCTTCTGCACACACAGAGGCGGCGTCACCCACCTCCAGGCGGTGGGGTGGCACCGGGGGGTACGCGGGCAAGTAGGCGGTCTTGAAGTACCTACCAAGGCAAAAAACTAACAATAAAGGCCCTTAAATCCTCTTTTTTCTTCTTTATTCCTTTTTGCCTTTTGGCTGGCGCTTGGATGTGCCCTCATTTTTGAGCCAGTATAAGGTACTGCAAGGTAAATGGGCCAAGTGTGCTACATAAACCTTTTAAAAAAAAAAAAATAATAGAAAAATGTTAAGTCACTTAGAGGAATTCCCTGCCCTGAGTGTTACTGCAAAATCCTATTTAGTTTGCAGCGTGCTTTACGCTCTCTCGCAGGTGCTAAAAAGACAGGCAGAAAAATTCTCAGTCACAGATCATTCGCTGCCGATTCAAAATGGAAGCTCGGGGCCCTGCAGCCGTCTTCGTGTGGAGCTCGTGGTCCTCCATCACCTGGAGGTCCCACCTAGCACAGGAGGACAGCGTATTCTCCCGCTTTATCTCCGTTTTTTAGGGTGAGCAGGGGGTGCATTTTGGAATGAGACCCTCTGGAAGAAGGGGGAGCTGTGATGAGGGCTGTAGGCAACGGCCATCCTGCTTTTGCTGCTTTCTCAACCCACCATGAGCTCACCAGGTACCTGCAGAGCATCGGCATCCCTCTGCTGCCCGATTTTTAGCCTGGCAGGGAGCACTCAGAGCCCCTGGGGCCTTTGCTGACCCTTTGCCTCCCCCTTCCACCTCTGGCTCAGAAGTTCTGCCCAGAAGGAGGATATTCTGGAAATAGCTGTATTAATCAGTACCAGCTGGGATGGATTTCCCAAAAATCAAGGTGGGCAGGTAGGAGGAGAATGAGCGTTTTCCTCACTGTCTGCCATTCGGGCAAGATCTGTTACAGCATTTTGTTCTTTTTCACCTTAGCAGCTGAAATGTTGCAGCCACCACAAGCTCTCTGACCAGAGTAAAAGTGACCCCAAGAGAGGACGCGTTCCCCACCGCCTTGTCCTCATTCAAAGGCAGGTGGATGGAGAGGTTGCTGAATGCTGACAGAGAAGAGACGGCAAACGGACAGTCACATGGACCGGGGGTTCAGGAGATGCGAACAATTCTGAGAACAAGGTGTTTCTGTGGTCAGGGACTGAACCACAGTGTACTTCACCGCTGATAATTCTGCATTTAGGTCATATCACTTGCTTTGAGAATAGGCTGTAAGAGGCCCTTTCTCAGGTGTTTGCCATGACAGGCCAGCTGAGAACAAACCCCCAGACGGATCACTCAAGACTGTCACCTAGAACGGGACAGGTCCTTCTGGGCTGCCCCATTCCTCTAGACGACACTTTTTGGAATCTCAATTCTTTATATGCTTGAAGGTGACTTCAAAAGAACAAGTCGATCACACCCATTGCATTTTGCTTTTCACTTTTTAAACTGCTTTTAACTTTGCACATTAAGTGTTCATTAACACCATCCACATTTAAATTGGCGTTATTTATTACTGTTCACTTTGTTCAAACAACCGCTTTTACACTTGTGGCTGAGCCTCAAATAACTGAACTTCCAACCATCAACATCATCCACCCTAAAAAGCAGGCGCTCCCAAACCAAATGGGGGAAAAATCCTCACACAGCTACGCAAACACACCTGCAGCAGCTGTGATGGACAGCCTTGTCCCCAAACAGAGGTAGGAGTGATGAGCATCACACTTCCCCTCGGGGCAGGAGCACGAGGCGGTCCCCCCCCATCCACGGGCCAGGAGGTGCAGCAGCATTTGAGAGCGCTCCATGTGCTCTTCCCAGTTATCTTCTCCTTCCACCTGTCAGCAGGACCTTCTTTCCAGCCACAGCAGCTGCTGCCAGCACTGTGAGCAGCCATTGTTACAGGTATTGCCCAACCCCAGGCACTTTCATCTAACTTTTACTCTCAACAAAGCAAAATAGCGGCAGAATATCCAGCTGTTCAGAGCATTGTTGGGTATTTCCTTTGTTTCATTCACATTTCCAGTAAAACACTTTTTTTTTTTTTTGAAGAAAAAAACCCCACAACCTGCGAAGATAGCTCTCCCGGAACAGCTATTGTTCACTACGGGCACTGAAATAAAGTATTTTTTTGGCATCTCGCTGCCCTCAAGACCCTGGTGCCATAGGCTACACCATAGCAATTCTTCCTAGCACAGCGAAGCCAGCGCCAGGAAGCGATAAGCCTCGGGGGAGCAACAAGACCTTTCTCACCAGAATCCCTGGCAAGCGGTGTGCCAGTGCAGGGGGAGAGCAGCAGGTGCAAGAAAATTTTTGTTGATTTTTGTTAAATGGCACTAGATAATGGGAAACTCACCTGCCCAAAGCCGGTAGCTGCCTCCAGGCTCATTTTTTTGCGGACGCGTGACCTGGCAGGAGCAACAGCCACTTATCTCCGCTAGAACAGCTACAAGGGTTGATCAGCCGGCTCCGTTGCTGTTAGCTCCAGGGAGGTCGTGGTCAGGAGCAGCAGATTTCTGTAAAGAAACGGTCACTCCCTGGCCTACGCCAGGAGCCGGTGCAGCGGCACACACCTCAGACCCTCCAGCAAATGCTGCATCGTTTTTTATGCAAGCCCTTGGCACTACGGTCATCCATGTCAAAATAGGGTGAGATTTCCCAGCTGCGACTCTGAAATGCACAAGAGCAAAGACAGACCCCTTGGAGCTGACCACGGACCTCCCCGTGCAGCAGTCATGGGTGGCTCAGTGGTGGTCAGAACAACCACCCCTCCAGCCTGTTAACTTTTTGCTGTAGTAGAGAGAGGAGAAGGCCCCTGGTGTTCGTGCTGTGCCTACACCACTGGGGTACTGTGATATCCCTGGGGCCTGCCTACGAGTTCCCAAAGCAGGCCCAGCCACCCAGGCTGCTACTGGGTCAGGGTGATGACACAAGTCCCCCAGGGTTCCTTGCGTCCTTGCTTCAAAAACAACAGTCGCTTCAGGGACCAAAACACTGGGGAGAGAAAGACTGAGAGCAGGGAAGGTGAGTGGCGCGGAACAGACAGGAGGTGACTGCCAGCTTCCTGACAACACTCGCCATCGTTGCGGCCACATGTGCTGTGTTTCACTCCATGCTTCTTGGAGAACACCGAGCTGTTCAAACCATGTGGTTTCTTCCCCTTTCGGGTGCTGCCCACCGTAGCAGGGGCCTGGGGCACATCCTGTGGCACAGCTGACTGCCCTTGTTCTCCGGCATCCATCCTACTGGGAGAGCTGCACAACGCAAGCCAGCTGCACTGCACGGATCAGAGGGGCAGCATAGCAACAGATTATTATAAAAAAAAAAAAGTACTATCCAGATTAACCTTTAATCCAACCAACACATGCATGTGAAAGGACAAGCCGTTACGAGTTTCTAGTGCCAGCCAGCCTCTGCAGCATTGGCAGGGGTAGGAAGAAACAATCTCCGGAGTAGGCTTTCCCGTAACTCTGCACTGCAGTTTCTTACAACTTCACCTGACTTTCTCGCTGCTGCCAGAGCGTAAGTGGCTGGCTGGAGTCCTGTTCCTATGCCATCACTCAAATCCAGCCTCCCCGGCTCAGGGAGAGCACGCTGACTGCGCTTTGGTAACACGGGCAAGACCTAACCACGCTGCCTTGAGCCATGACCGACTCAGGAAATGCACCCCACCCCCCCTCCGCTTTTGCTCTGCGTGCTTTTGTGATTGACGTCATAGCTGCGTTGGGATGCAGGGCTCACCCCCACCTTACATCTACTGGAGACATCTGACAGCCCCATTCCCTGGCTGAGGCACCTCAATTACCAGCTAGCCTCCCCCTCCACAGCGGACAGAGAGGCACACGCCTTGAGGGGGCAAGTCAGAAACCAAAGTTGACTACATGGTACTGTGAGAGTCTCTCCACAGAGTATCAGCAGTGCCAGGATTTGGGCTCCTTGGCTAAGCCCTGTGTTACCTGTGGTGAATCAGGGGCCAAACTCTACCCAGGAGCTCCTGTGCTCCCAGGGAGCTCCTTGAAATCCCTGCAAGCCAACCCACCTGAGGTTTTGGCTTGGAGGAGAGCAGCTTCCCAGCTGGCAGCCAGCACGGACCGTGTTTGGCAGCCCAGGCCTCGCATCATGTTTTCTCCATTCCCACAGGAGATGCGGGATATGGGGCACACCAGCGTTCTCCTCCGGCTGGTGCTGGCAGAGCTGTCCTGGCACTGCAGCATTGTGCAAGGACATTAAGAATTCTAACATCCCTAAACCCAGAGCAGCAGCCACCCTGCCATCAGTGTTCTCCTCGTCAAATTCTAATCCATCAAGGACCAACTGTCCCAAGTCACCTCTGTACAGCTCTAACTTACCCAGTGGGTTAAAAATTAATAAAAACCTAACCTCCTCGAATCAAAGTAATGAGTAATGTCAGAAACAGCCTTTTGCAGGCTCCATTCTTCATCGATCCCTCCTTACTGACCTTTCTCACGCAAGCACACACATTTTCCATTCTTTTTCCAGCCACGCTACATGTTTATACCAACAGAAGTGACTGGCGGAAAATAACTCAGCTGAGAATTAAAGCAAGGGGAGGTAAATGACCACACAAACAGTCCATTAGGTAAATGTCAGTTCTCATATTTAATATTTTAATAATTTTGTTTGCAACATTTACCACATAAATCATCTAAATAAATAGATGCTGTACAGTCTCTTATCCGTATCAGTACAAAAATAAAACCACACTTTGTGTCAAATTATACTTGAGCCTGCCCTCCCTTTGCTATTACAATCTCCTTTTACAGCACATACTCGCTCAGAAAAGGCATTATACTCTGATTGGTTTGTTTGGAATTGGTTTACTCCCTATTTCCCCCCCTCCCCAAATACATTCAATTAGTCTGTACAAAAGCTAGAAGCTCATTCTGTGCAAAAGGAAGCTTTCTGTGTGCAAAGACTCAGATACTCTAGCGTGCTGACAGGAACAACAGCAACAACCGAAGGGACAAGAACAAAAATAATTTGGGACCCTCCCCTCTAACTGACCCCATCCTCCATCTTCCACTTCCAACGGAAGGGAAGCATACCAAATTAGATGAGTCGGTGTGCAAAAGAGTCCAAACGATGCGTGTACACTGAGGGAAAAGGTTGGTGCTGAAAACCCAGTGAGAGAACTGGGGTTCCCCCAGCTGTAGAGCTGGCCAAGTGAGGAAAAAAAGATTGTCTCATTTTAGCCTGCTCAAAAGGTTGTTGAGATACGCAGAACAAAAGCTTCATCTACATGATTTTAGTTCTTTTGTTGCTGTTGTGTTGGAGATGAGGTGAGGAAAACAGCCTCTGGAAGAATCCAGTGGCTACTGAAGACCTGGTTCACCCTCCCTTCCTCTCCCCACTCCCTGCAGAAGGACAGATTTCTCCCCATTCCTCAACTAAGCTAATAAGGTGCAATTTTTCAGACAGGAAACACTCTAAAGATGTCTCCAGAGCTGGAAGAAGTGGTCGTAGTTCCAGACTAGGACCACTCAAACTGAAACTCAACTTCATTTTTCCCTTTCCTCAGCCAAAGGAGGTGGGGAGGGAGGAAGCCAACCCGCACACTGAAGACGAGTGAGGGACCCTGCAGGTCCCCTCTCCTCCCTCAGGGAGCCCTCCTTCACTCGGCTGTGGACCACGCTTCCCCCTGTAGCCCTGGGCGGGAGGCACAGGGCTGGGTGGCAGCTCTGGAAAAATGATAAGGAGCAGCCAGCGGCCTGAAACAGATACATCTTTTGCTTTTCAAATGCCACTTTTAGACAGACGATAAGGAGTAGTTAGCACTCCTAGTGCTTTGCATTTCCAAAGTGCTTCAAAACATACTTCAGGTTTAAAAGCCAAAAAAATTTTTTGCAAAAAGCTCTTTTTTGCTGACACTACATTTTCTGGTTAAAAAAAAAAAAAAAAAAAAAATAATAATAATAAAAGGTTTTCCTCCTCCTCCTCCAAAATCCCCCTCCCAGCCAAAATTCTGCTACCCCAGTAACAAGATAGGCTGTGATAAGAGGTTCTGAACAGTCTTACGAGCTATCCCTTTCAACATCCGCTTGGCACTCTCAGACATCATCCACACCGCATTTCAGACAAGAACCCCAACCATCTTTGCAGAGCAGCTCACAGCAGATAGAAACAACCTCAGCAGCAAAGCTTCTACTCCAGCCCAACTTGGTAGCAATCCATCTCCCCCCTATCAGCCATTACATGCTCTGCTCCTCTCTACAACTGCCAGTTAACTAGGGATCATCTCCCACCTGCTCCCTGCTAAGCCACTGTACTTTCACAAATTAAGGGTGCAAGGGCAAGAGAGCTGGAAGAGAAAAAGGGGTCATCACTCCAGGAAGTGCTTGTTACAGGGAAGGACTTGAAGGGTCTGAATTCAATTTTACATGATTGCTTCTCTCTCCTTCCAGTTGTCCTGGGGCTGTTTTGTAGGCCTTCCCATCTTGACCAGCTGCTTGGGGTGGAATCCAGGTGGTTCGACACCCAGAAGGTTTAGGCTTTCTCTGCGAGAACGGTAAGTTCAGCAGTCAGAGGACAACATGGTCTCATGATCATAAGCTACTGTCTCAAAACAAATTTACCATGCCCTTGGGGAAAACTGTTTTACACAAGCACGGCAAAAGCGTGTTCCCTTTACCTGCATGTGCCAATGCTATACATTCCCATGTACAAGTTACCCAATGCAAGCTATTACCGTACGCAACCCCCTTGGTTTCCTGAATGGTGAAAGATGGATACACAAATGCAGCGCTGACTGTCTCCTCTCCACAGGGTCCACTCAGAACTCCAAGGGACATCCACCCACTGATGCAAGGGATCAGCTTCACTAAAAGTTCTGTACACTTCTAACACGCCTTTTCTCTCAACTGCCAGCTCACCCAAAGGCCTGTCCTCAACCGCCTAGCAAGAGCAACTCTGAGGCAACTCCTTCCCTGACAAGCAGCTGCTACTACTATTTTCCTAGAAAGGCCCACTACCCTCTTCTTCCTAGGCTGCAGGGTAAGCAGGGGAGGAACAGAAGTCGGGTAGATACCAATTAGCTTTAAAAAAGGATGTTTTTGCTCTTACCCTACTTCAGAAAGTGCAAACTTAAAGCTTGAGAGGAGAGGAAGGGGTGGAGGGGTGGGGGTAGATTTAGCTTTGCTCAAATACATGGATGTGGCTGACAGCCCTCGCTGCTGTCTTCCGCACCCCAGCCTCTGTTGTGGCTACCACCAAAGGGCTTGCATGAGCCACCCTGCCTATTTTTTGACCTGTGCAAGGCCTCCCTTCTCTATTCCAGTGAAACCATCAAACAGCACTAGCTGGCGTACAGCAGGAAACAGTACTGGGGCCAAGGGCCCCCTGTGAGGTGAACAAACAATTTTATACATTCAGTCACAAAACACCAGAACAATTCTGGACAGTTTCACAACACTAACAACAACAACAAAAAAAGCCATTCATTTCTCAATAAGCTTCTTTCTGTCTGAGGCTCCAACATAAGCAAGGGTCAATTCACTAACAAATTTGGGCTTATTTTGGCAAATGGAACTGCTTTTGGGTGTTCTCACAATAATATGCTAGCCTTGCTTGAAAAAGCAAAAAAAAACAAACCAAACCAAAACAAAATGCCCCCACCTTGGTCCGACTGCCCAAGCAGAAGGGCCCCAAGCAAACACAAGACAATAAGGAGCATGCAGGAGCTACCAGGCTACTTAATGACGCTATTTATGTGTTAAAACTTGCTGTTCCAATATGAGAGCAATAACATCTAGTTTATAACCATCCAGGAACTGAGGCACTCCTATCCCGTCCTTTCCTTTTTTTTTTTTTTTTTTTTTAACCACAGTGTTAACAATAAAGGTTTTCCAATCTCACGAAGCCCCTCAGTTCTGTCACATATACAGTGGGTTCACTGTGAGAAGATCTATGGAATAAAAACTTCTGTCCCCCAAATGTGGCTGGTAAATTCTCACATGGAAACAGGTCTAAGAATGACTATTAGAACAGTTCTTCTTCAGGAAGTTTGTTTCTTGCGTACAGTTCAGTAATTTCCACTGGCTGAAGTTTGTTTTTCTTGTTTACAGCCATGGAGCCAAAGGAGGTATGAGAGAGTTAACCCATTTCTATTCTCAGCTTGTGCTTCAAATAGAATTATTAAACTCAGCTTCAGCTGGATGCTATTCTGGCTCTTCTAATCAAACAGAATGCTTAACAAAGCTCTGAGCACAGCATCTGATTTTCATGATATGTTAGTCCAAGAGGTCCCAATTCAATTTTCAGATTTTGCGTGGAACTAGCAGATGGACAGTATCAGGGGGAAGAGACAAGTAAACCCAGACAACCTCTCTTGCCATCACAAGGAAAACCCCCATACATCTCTACACCTGCAGAAGTGGAATAAAGCTAATTTTGAACTCCCCGAAGGCCAGCTCTACCAAGGAAGTTTACAACAATATGCCACCAGACAATATGGAACAGAGCCACATTTTAAAAAGACCAAGAGAAAAATCTTCTCAAACAGATCTTTAAGATAAGCAAGAATTCATGAATGTCAAAAAAAAAAAAAAAGTCCACCCTAACACAGTAACTGCTTAGTTTCCTACCACAACCTCCTCCTCACACACACAGACCAAACCCATGCACATGCAACTTGTTGCATCTTAACCTGGTAAGTGTTAACTCTTCATTGAGCTGTACACAAAGCAGCATGGTTGCCAGGTACTTCGTTCAACACTTTGTGTAGCGAGATGATTAGTCACCAGCAGAACACAAACTAGCCTGACCCATAAAAAATGATTAAGATACAAAGCTGTGGGTAGATCCTCTCTGAAAGACCACCACAGGTCTTTGAAAACTCCACTGCAAGAGGAAGAAAAGATGTTTAAAGAGAAATGCCAAAACAAAACATTGAGAAGTCTCAGCTGGTGAGTGGACAGAAAAGCAGAGGATAGAAATACAGTTTATTAGGACAAGCTCTTTCCTAACACAGGATTGGTATTGCTTCCGATGTCAGCCAAAGCCAGGAACCTTCAAAAATAGGAAGATTTTTTGGTGTATTTGTACACCAAGATGAAGACAGGACAAAGGTGGCAATAGCTGCATTTTGATTAAAGAAGCTAGATCTTATAAATGCCATGAAGATTTAGCAGGATGAGCTGGAACTCAGGATTTTTTAAAAATAAGCTAAAGTATTATGCTTCTGCAACCATAACTACCTGACCTGCTACGACCCTCAAGAATGGACTCAGCCATGCGGTGTGTCCAAATGTCACAACAAAAGAGAGATGCAGGTATTCAGCACATTTGGCAGGTGTCAGGAAGAGGGGGTGTATGTGGGGCTGACGATGACAACACTGTCTGACCCCACATCCTGCAAAAGAGGGTGATCCTGTTTATATGGTTCAACTCCAGATTCAGAAGCCTCGCTCTGGACACCCACGTTCAAAAAACATCCTGAGCCTGCATGCTTAGCTCATCAGTTTGCCCTTGCTAGCTATTGTAAGCTTCTTTCCCACTCACTCTTCCTCCCACCACATAATTCCCCTTCCCCCCAGTTTCCACTTTTCACCCTCTCAGATTTCTCCATAATAAAACTCTCATGTCACTTCTTTGAGAGACAAAAGGTTAGTCCAGAAATTTAAGATCTTCCCAGTGGTCCTGAAACCGCTGTGACACAGTGGAAGACAGGCCTACTAAAACAGCTTTGAGATGGAAGGGCAAATCCTAAGTCTACACTGAGATGCCATACCCCATCTGAGGTAAAACCCGCTTCTAATAAAAACCATAGGGGCAGTCCAAGCACCTTGCAAAAAGTAGATGTTTGGAGGACCAGAAGCCCCAGAGCTCCCAAATACGGCAGCCAGCAGCCAAGGGAACACATTGATTTCAACAGGTGTCCACCTCAGAGCTCAGAAGGCTCGTAGCTTCATTTAGAGTAAGTATAGCAGATAACAGAGCTTCAGGAGGGGTGGGGAGAGGAAACAAAGTAATCATGACAGTAGCCAATGTTACCCTGCAGCAGTCTGTCCTGCAGTTCCCATCTTAAGACTCTAGCTTACTTTTCTTGCTTTCCATAGGAAAAGGTCTATATTTAAAATTTTTAGTTATTTAAATAAAATTTGCTTTACAAAAAATGGAAGAGAACATGCATATGTGCAAGAACAGATGCTATGCTAAACTACCAACTCAAAATACAGCAATTCTTCAAAAACCTCAAAGTGTCACAGGCAGTCCAGCACAAGGCATTTTTAAGTGCAAGATCAGGCAGGGTCTATTGAAATGCAGACCACTTTCCATGGCAAAGATTTTTAAGCCTTCCAAGGGGAAGTTCGCATCAGTAAAGTACTACAGTATCACAGATACTGTGAGGAGACTGGAGTCACGGAAGAATATTACGCAGGCAGTACAATCCAAGAACTCTGATTGCTAAGAATTTTCTCCCTTCCTCAAATCTAATATGTGCCTTCCCCACATGTTGTTTACCTTGGATCCCTCAATGGGATTCAAGAAAAGAATTTGCTGCTAATCAAGGTCCATTTCTAGCTCAATTCTGTCCAATTCCTGTGTCCTGGGCCTGTGCCAGTATCTTGGATATCTCTGCAGTGCCAGGCAATGCTTCGGTTGTCGTATTAGCCCCTCCTCCCAAGGGAGAGGAATCAGTTTTCAACCAACTTATTACCACAGATTCAGGGCAGCGTTTGTTATTAATACTGAATTTGGCCAAGGGTAAGAACACCCCACTTTCCATAACACATTCCTCACACAGCTGAGCTGAGCCTAGAAATCCTGTTTAGCATATACAGAATGGTATGTCTCGACTGCGCTGGGCTTCTGAGCTTTTAATGAGGGCAAATTGAATTTACGTCACCAATCTAGATTTCAGAGATGCATTTCAGTCTTTCCGCATGATCAACAATCAAAGGGAGAAACCTCTGCTGTCTATACGGACCCATCCTGCAAAGACTGACTTACCACAGACAGGCAAATATGATTCTGAAGTCCTGACAGCACGGCACAGGGAAAACAGCACTGGAGAGAAAGTCTTAACAGGCTGGAGTTATCTACACAGGTAGGATCCATTGCCTCTCACTGCTGCAGGAAGAGAGGGAGGAGGAAGGTGGGAAGAGCAATCCACAGAGATGTATCTTTATCCAAGGGATATCAATTGCAGAACAAGGCAGCAGGCTAGAGATCCAGCTCTCTTTCCACCTCCACATGCCCTCTCCCCACAAATGCAGCTGCCGCCACTTAACAGGATAAAAGGCGAATTGTTCAGCTTGCTGCTTTCACATCTAGGAGAGGAGTCTTTGCCAGGGAAAGGGCTGTCAGTTTTTCAGATGGACAAAGCAATGACAAACACACACCCCCTATACTGCCCTTTTTTGCGTATCTGAAAGGGGAAAACAGAGAAGAGAAAAAAAAAAAAAGTGTCTGTAAACATTTTAAGAGGAGACATTTTGGATTTTTTTTTTTTTCTTAAGGGATAAAATAACCCTTCCCTAGCCCCACCCTAAAAACACTAGTTTTGGGGAGCACTGAAAATGGAGATTCAGAACTGCGCGCTCCGGTCTCGGAAGAAGCCCTCAGCCACTTGTGCTTCTCTGAAAGTGACGGTAATGGAGTTTGCCGTGATGTCTGTCACTGTCACTTCACTGGGGGGCACAGTGGGAATCCAAGGGAGACTGCCATCCACATCTGCTGCAGAAGGAGAGGCAGATAAAAGCATGTTAGTGAGAGAGAGAGAGAGGGTGAGGGAGAAGGAAGGAGGAAGAAGAGAAAGAAGGGAAGTATGAAACAGGGGCCTCCTTTCTGACAAACAGTGGGTGAAATCAGCCTGTACTGAGTCTGCACATACAAGGCAAGAAAGAGCATGGGCAAGCCCTCCCCTCAGAGGCTAAGGGAAAATGGAGGATCACTGCAGGATGTAATGGAAAAAGGAGAGTAGCAAAGGTGTCCAGACACACACCAGCACTGGAACAGCCTACACAGAGGTCAAAGGACCCTGTAACAACACCCAGCTCGTCTAACCATCCACATTTCCCTGATACTTCTCACCCCATCTCAGGCCCTAATTTGGTTCTGTGTCAGAAAAGCAGATCACCCAGGTGTCAGCTCACCTGCTTGTAAATATCCTACCCTGCTGAAGTCAAAAATCACAAACCCTTACACACACTTTTCAGATACTCCTACGGAAGTCAAAGGAACCCAAAATGGAGACTCTTCCCTGCACTGCACCTGCAATGCAGCCTGGGTGCAATTCTCTCAAAAACCCATCAATACTGCTTCATGGAGAAGCTGCTCTCCCTTTCTCATATCCTTCCTTTGCTCTCTGATAGCTCCATACATGAAAACCAAGCATCCCTGCACTTTCTCACTGTAAGAATAGTTATCAGTCCCTCTGCCACCCGAAGCCTCACCTCCCCCCAATCCCCAGAGACAACCACAAAAAATACACAGAGAGGAAGGAAAACACCCTCTCCCTGTCACTACACCTGTACTATATACCTTGTTGTCCTAACCCAGGCAAGGAAGAAGGGCCCCTTAAGAGTGTATTTCCTGCCCTCTGTCTCAAATACCTGGGGTGCCTACTTTCACCTCAGAAAGAGCCCAATCCCCTCTAACAATAACTGGAATTCCATGCAGGCTGTGTGTCAAGGGGAGAACAAAAACAGTTTCACATTTCTGTAGGGCCGTTCACTCCTCTGATCCCCAAGTGCTTTAGAGCCTAGTGCTTCTAAGGGGGGGAACAGCCCCACACATTTGCATATTGCCAGGATGCCAAACTGGGTTCCTCTGTGCTGCTACTCCCATTGCTGCTTCCCTGGATTTTGGGTGCTGTTAAAGTCCCTCTCAAAAAGGAGGGGATAGTGTTGACTCTAGAACATAGTCCTCTCCCCCAAATACTGCCTAATCCAGTCTGGCTAACAGCTACTCCCAGCAAGGAGTAACAGGATTCCCTTAGCTACTACAAGCAGCACAAGCCCCAGTTTTCCACTCCTCAGGAAAGCTACGCCTTCAGAAGCTCTACTAATGCAGGGATAGAGTTTCCCTGGTAACTCAGAGCAACATGCACATCCCACAGCCCTCCTGCACAAGATGCTGGTATCCCTCCCCAAAATGCCAAATATGCTTGGACATCTCCCGTGCCTACACTCATGCTGCCTACTCAGTGGCATCAGGCAGGATTTACCATCCTCACGTCATCTCTCATCCCCCTTTCACATAGCTCTGTAGCAAGAGACTTTGGAGGACGTGGGGTGTGGAGAGGAAAGGGAAGAAGGGGGCAGAAGAAGGTATTATAGGTTCTTAGCGGCATTCTTGTACACTCCTCAAAACAGCACTATGAGAAGAGTGCTGGTGTCCAAGCTTGTCTACTGCCAGCCAAGCTCCTTTTAGCAGAGCAGCAGGCTGAACACATATGGATATGTGGACAGAGTTCATCACTATCACACCTGCATGTCACCTCTGCTGCAAGGAAACTGTAAGAGGGGAATAACTTGCAGTATCTTCTGCATGTTTTCTAACACTAGAAGGGATGTCACTGATATAAGACAACAGAGAGGCAACAGCACCAAAAAAGCAGATTAATCTGTGCTATTTATCCGAACAAGAAGGAACTTGCAGACAAGAGGGCCTCAATGTGAGCCAGTGAGAGCTGCTCTGAGGACCTGACCTAAACCACAATCCTAGGATGAGGCAAGCAAGGAGGAAGCATGCAGTGCATCCTTCGCGTGCTCGAGAACTTCACGGCCAAGGGGTGTCTGGCCTTACCTTCTTTGCTGGTGTGCTGCATGGCCTCCCAGTCCTCAGCATCTTGCCTGGCCTCCAGGCCCACCGCATCATTCAGGAAGAACTCATGCCTGCAGTTTCGGCTTTCCAGACTCGCCATGCGGGGGAACTTCTTCCTTGACAGTCGCAGGTACTTCTGGTTTTTGCGTTGCTTCCGGAGAGAGAATGGCAGGACCGCTCCCCCAGTCTTCTCCGGGAACTCTGCCTGCCCTGGCTTGGACCCTGGCAGGCTACTGTCTCCTCCTCCAAACCTCCGCGCAAGAGAGAAACAGAGCTTCTCCTTTCCCTTGTGGGCACTCCTCAAGTCCATGCCATACAGCCGCTGCCAAGACATCAATGCAGCAAGGGTCAGAGTGGAAATCTGATAACACACCCAGGGCTCCCACCTGGGAGCCAGGAAGCTCTTCTTTGTTCAGTCTTTGAACACCTAGATGAGCTAGGATGAGTTATGCTGCCTCTACAACACTGTTTCTTTCACCTCTTAAACTGCCATCTAAGCTCTTCCTAATATGTGCTTCCTAGGATTGGCTGCTTTGCTTGGCAACAGTCAAAGTGTGCTGAAACTCCGCTTCCAACCAGTGGCTACCTTTAACATGATGGAAAGTCCAAGCCCAACATGAAATTACAAGAGCATGCAAACCAGGTAACCTGCAACCACCCAAGCCCAAAGTTTATAAAACCCCAGTTCAGAGAGCAAGAGCTGTTGTTGGTTTGGGTTTTTTTTGTTTTGTTTTGCTTTTTTAAATACAAGTTAGCTAGCTCTTCAGCTAACAGGTTAAAACTATCTGCCTACCCACTGATTTCACGTTGTTGTGTTAGCTTGTTACCTCCAGTTTTGTCCACGAAACAGCAAACAGACAGTTTCCACCTCCCTGTGAGCAGAGGAGCAGCACAGCAGCTAATGAGTTAGAAATACACAGAAGAGCGAGAGGCTACCTGCAGTAGGAGGCGCTTTGGTTTGGGGCCTCTCTTCCTGTACCCTGATGCACGGTCTCTCTCTTCCCTGTGAAAGAGGAACACAAATCAAACAGAGTACTAAATACCATGGCACATAACCTAGTTGGAACTTCTACCTTTCACAGCACAGCTCCCTCCTTTCCTTCGTTAAAACCCAATAGTGACCAGCGTGGGCTTGGAAAACATCCCAGAATTGCTTCTTGCAGGAGTGAAAGCCTTGCAATAAGGGAATAAGGGAATTTCTCTGACTCAGCTGATCAAGGATGGGTTAGAGAAACTTATCACCTCGCATCACTCCGGTCCAGCCCTGGACCCGATTAAAACCTGAGACTGATTGCTCTTTGGCTCAATGCTGCTTGTTCTTGGCCTCATTTCCAGAACAGTGCTGATCAAAGCTGTTTTAACCCTGTCTTGTCCACCTCAGCCAACACCAGGGTACAGAAATCAAGCAGGATTCATTGCTACGTAGGTCATGTTTGATTGAAGTAGGGACAACAGGGCCACTTTATGCACACTATGAAATACAGACGCTATTTCCTTTTCCTGTGTCCAAGGAGAGGAAGAACATGCGCCCTTACTTTTCTTCATAAGCCACCACCAGGCGAGGGTCCAAGATATGATCCTCTGGCTCCCATGTGCTGTATCTGAAGAAAAACATGAGGAATATAAAGTAAACATTCTCCCTGCAGGCCTGCTACCAGTATGCTGAGGCCCTGGATACTGTCTTCACAAGGGTCGGTGGGGCCTGCCACAACATTGCGAGAGCCCTGAGGAATCCCAGCCATTCCCTCCTCAACTTCCTGCAGACACCACCTCCCCTTCCCAAAACAGGCAGGGCCAAGCGTCAAGCAGCTCTTTGCAGAAGAACAGGGAAGGCTTTCCTCCCCAGGGCCCCCTCCATGCTGTTTGTAAAGCCTGTGCAGACACTTACAAACTGATTTTAAGTCAATGCCTAAACAGGTGTCATCTGCAGCACTCCCCCAAATCCAACAAACCCCATGGAACAATGAGACGTGATCTGATACAGCTTTCTGAAAAATAGGTCTCTCTTAATTTAGAGTGCTCAAAGAGTAAGTACGCTTTCTCACCTGCATTATTAATTACCTCTAATCACTGGAGCTGAAAGTATTCATTTAATAAGAGTTTAATTTTTCTCCACTGATGCCATTCAACTAAACATGCTTAGACCTGGGCCCTGAGGCAAGTTGGTGGCAACCTTCCAACTATTCCTACTCTTGCTCGACTCCCCCTGCAGGTTATTTCTATCTAGCAGAGGTCATCGGTATTTCTGTATTAGTGCAGGAGGAACCCACCTGCATTGTGGTCAGGGCTACCGAAACAACTCAAAATAAGCCTGATGCTCTGCAAGTAGCCTATGAAGTGTCACTCACTGCCCCACCTCCCTCCTCGATTGCTGGACAGCTATGACAGGAGCCAGATGCTCAGGAACAGTCTGAACCCACCCAGCAAGCAATGCCAAAACTGGTTCCCAAGGGGCACAGCTGCACTTAATACCAGGGAGAAACAACCAAAACCTCCCATTCTGGAAGGTGAAAGAATCACAAGGTGGTTCTCACTGCATGCTTGCTTCTAAGGGGTCATGTTTGCCCAGAAGAGGTGGGTGGCATGTCTCTATCACAAAAACTCAAAGGCAAGAAAGCAAGTCTGAAACCCCAAATGCCTCAGAACATTAATTCTCCTGGAACGCGAGGCCCGGGGCCCAGAAGCAGAGCACCTCCCAGCCCCTGGGGAGGAGGGCGAGAGAGGAGGTGGGCAAGGGTGCATTTGTATCAGTGCCTTTAAACAGTGGGGAAGCATTTTAGGCTGTTTATGTTTCTGGATGAAGCACAGGCTGCACATGAGGGCATGTGATACATGCATATATGTACACAGAGGAGGTGGTTTGGGAATACATTTTCCTTTCATCTCTCCATGAGACAGAAGAAAGGTACTGAAATACAGGAGCATTCCTAGAGAATGGTTCTAGAAATGAAAGTACAATTCTTTCACAAAAGGGAGAAACAAACCCACAAAATTCAGATATCCCAAGGGGCACTGTACATCAGAGAGTTAAGAACAGACATGTCTTCATAACCAGCTGATCCCTCCCTCCCTCCCTCCTTTGCTTAAGCCTCCTGCAGCAACCTGACTGTGAGCTGTCAAAGCCAAGATGCTGTTTGAACAGAGGAAGGTTTCCTCCCAGCTGCAGGGATTCTGGCACTCACTCTACAAATTTAAGAAAAATAATAACACAAGGGGGGGAAAAAGACATGTGATTGCTTTTCATGGGCAGGAGAAGAAAGGGGATTTGCTTTTTAAAAAAAAAACAACGGTGGGTGTTGCCTTTTTCTCTGCAGCTCAGTTTCTGGCTTTGCTGCAGTGGCAAAACACTGCATATAAAAAAAAAACATCGTTCAGTTTGCCACGCGCGCGCGCACACACACACAGGCACACAGAACTATATATATGGGTACACAGAGCCCAGGCTGCAGCAGAACTGCAGAGAGCAGGCACTCTGGAAAACATAGATCATATGATCTTCCTTCCCCCTCCTTCTACTCCTCCTCTTCCCCCTCCCCTCTTAACTCCAACACAAGTTGTAAACAAGCTTGTAGCTAGAATCAGATTGTAACTCCTCCATTCCATGACTCCAGTAGTACAATCCAGAAATCTGACGTGCAGGGTGTTAACAAGAATTTTTAATTAAAAAGAAGAAAAAAAAAGTGAAACATCAATTACATGGGAAAGCAGCAAACTACTAACCTATCCTTATTCCCTTCAATGAAGCCTCTGATGGGAATGATGGGATAACTGGTACAGAGATTACAAAGAGCAATGTGACAAGGTTGGGGAGAGGAATGAAGAGAAATATGACATGGGATGAGGATACAGAATATGCTGAAAGTAAACAGCTTGCGGTGTGCGTGCCATCACAGGCATATGTATGTTTAGAAACAAGGAACAGAGACTGCTAGCAGGATGAAAGCGACTTCAATGCTCAAAGCATCTTTGTTTTAAGCAACTCAAACCATCAAGTGAACAGTTAAAATGGAAGGGGAGGGGAAGGGAGAAAAAAATCAGTGCTCTTCAGATTTGGAGTTTGGGGGAAGAAGGAAGGTGTTTGGACATGTCACAGCATCAAAAGAAGGGAACCCTGACATCCCCTTGCTCCCTGCACAGAAGGCTGTGCTTTTAATTCCCAAAAGAGAGTTTCTGGCTCCCTCAGAGTTCCAAGACGCAGGGCAATGCAAGGCAGCAGTAAGAATAAGAGCTGCTCTGTCCAAGGAACATTACGCCATGCCTCAGCCCACCTTCTTGGCAAGTGACTTTACAAAAGAAGAACCTCAATGCATTTGTTGAAAAGAGAATGGGATAAACATCAGTATTCTGGCCAAAAGGGGATGGTGCCTCACAGACTACAAATACATTTCCCAACCTCTACCAGCGATTAAATTAGGCTTGGCTACTTAGGAGGCTGAAGCAGTCCAAGAGCTGACCCACAGTATGTGGCAACAAGCGCACAAGGTGACACTTTGACAGCAGAACTTACAGTCAGGAACAAAGTCACCCCCTCCCACCACCACCAGAGAGGGGAAGCCGCTTATATTCACGCACGTCCTATAAGCACGAGGATTAGGCAGGAGGATTAGGCACGCAGGAACACATTTCAACTTCTTGGACACCAGGTACAATCTGTCAGGACCATCCTAGCAGGCCCCACTTTCCAACTGCAGGGATGAACCAGTAAAAGCAGCCCCCTTTGCTTAGCAACGTGCAGTGCAACCGCATGTGTAATGTAGTCATACCCACGCACATTGTGTATGTACACACACATACAGTTACAAACACGAAACCAAAGACAGGTCCCCATATGGGTTGGCCAGCTAGCTAGACCGCTAGCTAACATAGTAATATTCTCCAGTTACCTAATCCTTTTAATCTCAAAGCATTTTACCGACTGTTTAGGCACAGAGCAATCACTCTTCTTCAGCGGCAACTGCATTTTAATAAGAGAAGTATCTGTAAGCAGTGCACAGCAATACTGCAAAAATTTTTTTTTTTCCTTTTTTGCAACATAGCGACCAAAGCAAAAGCAGAAAAGGCACTCAAAATAATGGAAGGTTTCAGACAAGGAAACAAAGGCATGGGGGTAATTTCCAAGGGACAAAGATCACCTGCATTTGGCTACAATCAATAAATCTGAAACATTGCCCCTTTCCACTTGTGAATTGCAGAGGAGAAATAGTAGGACAAGACAAGACCATCAACTTGTTTTCTATTTTAAAAGACTGAATATAGCCCTAAAAAAATAATGTGGGGCCCTCTTGGTGCTGACTCAGAAAAGCAGGAGCCATTCCAAGTTCAGAAGAACCAGGGTTCTCTGTTGAACTCATAATGAATTTAAAAACATTTGTATCTAGAAAGCATCTCAATGGAATACTTCAGTGGTGGCAAAACCCAGTCAGAATATACTGGCACATGGTTTGTATCCCTCAACTGCCAGTCCGAAAATAGATTTGGGTTTGGTTTGTGGTTCTTTGCTTTTGTTTATCTTTGTTGGAAGAAGGCACAAAAGGTTACCCATTAAGAATGAGATGCTCAGTTGCAGAGATACAGTGTAATCTATTACCAAATATTAAAGAAGAAGAGTAAAAGACAAGTAAAACACAACTTACTTTGGGGGCCATCCTTTCCACTTCACCAGGTATTCTACTTTACCCTAAGGGCGGAAAAAGGGAGAAAAAAAAACAGGTGAACTCTGCAACCAAATATGGGCTACAGTAAGAGGTACAACCAATCAACAGGACTAAACTGTGCAACTGAAAAGCTCATTTCCCACCACTTTATTTTCAAAACAAAGCCACTTCCTTATTCAACTACACTTGCTATACCTTTTTTCTGCAGAAAACAGGGCATGCGGGGTGATATTTAAAAGTGCTTGAACTACCATCAGCTTGGGATGATACCTTTGCAGAAACGTAGCAGGCAGAACCCCAAAAGCCAGCCGGAGGGCAAGACTGCAACCACTCCTGCATTTACAGGCAATCCTACCAGAAGTCAGCACGCATAAATGCGAGAGGGAGATGTATGCCAGAAGCAAGTGTCAGAGGAATTTTTTTTAAGCAGAGACAAGAAATACAGTGTTTCAGAACCTATGAAGCATTTCTTTGGCATGTTCCCTTCCAGTTGTTACATGCTTTACTCAAACACTCTTCGGTCCATCACAGTCACTCAGCCTTTTGACCCAAGCAAACAGCAGCTCAAAGCTGAACTTCAGTTATCCATTTAGTTGTTCACTCTACGTACAAGATTTAAAAAGAAAAAAAAAAGTGTAGCGATTGGAAACCACGTTCAAGGGCTCCACAAAGAACGTGCACAAGTATTAAAATCTTTACTATTCTACTGAGGGGCTTGTTAAGCACTTCCCAAAGCACGGCAGGGGCCCTTGTGCGTGCAGTATGACCAGCCCTCGAAGCAGAGGGGTCACCCACTGTTGCAGCTGTAGACACCTTTACATGACAATACAGCGAGAAAAGAGCTCAGGTACTCGAGCCAGAGAACGATTTTCGTATTCCTCATGGGGGGCTCATCAGCTTCCCAACCTGTGGAGACACTGCCCTACACACAACTTCCCACCAAAGGACTTCTACACGCTGCGTGCTTACGGGTTAATCCTCCTAACGGCCTGTGGGGACAGAGAGCTTTTTCACCCGTGGGGAAACTCAGCCACCGAGCGGGCCACCAAACCTTCCCAAACCCTCCCGTGATGCGGGCTGTCCGGTTTGCTGTCACCAGCACTGATTTTGCACAAACTGAACACTCCCCCCACCCCCCAC